AGTTAGTTTTATAAATAAAACCGTTACATTAGTAGTAATCATTGTTATTACGATGACGAGAAGAATAGTTTTCCGTAGTTTTTTTGTTTCGTTACGGGCCGCTTCGTTATCAGTCGTCCATCGTTATATACAATTGAAAAGTACGAGTAGTAACATATGACACTATGATAGCAATTTTACAGAAAGCGGCAAGCATGAAAAATCGTACGCTAACTGAATGCGTAAGGACCATATATACGATTTCTCGTTATCAAAGTCAATAGTACTGTTTTATTGTCGTTATCGTCTTCCCAGCTTTTCCTATCTATATCTGCAAAGGCGGTAAATCTATTTTACGGCCGTGTTTTGGATATTGTATTTAATCTTGTCATAGCGAAAAATCTATCCCAGTCAAATCAGGATCAACGTTTCGCATTTCCTCCTTTTCCTCTTGTTTTTTTTTTTTTCATAGCTTTCTAATGTCCCTGTTCCTGCAGCAGTTCTCTAGCGGAGTTCTTGTTTGAGAAGTCGATAAATATCCATTCAATTCACGGTAGCTGTGCCGTTTTTAGAAAGTTCTGCCTGTCGACAGTCTGGTAGATTCAGCAGATGTTTGTAGTTTAGCAGACTTAGCTGGATAAACAAAGTGACCAAATTAAACGTCGCCACTTTTCACTTCCACAAGATCACTACCGTAATCCACTTAAGGGTTGTCCAGCGGCCTGACAAACAGGCAAACACTGGCTTTCGTCCTACATCCAGCATCACCATTATTTGTTACCTTTTAGTCATAGAACGAGCCAGCTGGACGGACAAAAGTTGTCTTCACATCGACAAAACATTGATGTAACGTTTTGTTTGGCGGGATGACGACGGTAATAATACTATTACCGTCATCATTATCTTCATTGCTTAATTATCGCCCTTTGTGTTGATGAATACATTTTACTTGATGATTTTTGAAGGGTACTTAGTGCAGTCGCTTTGCGCGTAATCCCCTTGGCCAACCGGGTTTTCCCGTTCGGGTTGCCGAGAACTCGCATGCTATGGTTTCCCACAGTGATGGGGGTCAAACTGCATGCCGACCAGGCTGGGTTGGGTTTCGCGAGGCCGTTATTCTGACGGGCATTTATTGTCCTTATTGACGTTGTCATTGCTGGTGTATGCATTATGTTCAGTGATGTCTTGTATCGTTCTGACGTGTCATTGCAACCATGTTTTGATCTGGGGGTTGCCAATGATCAGAAAATTTCTCCATGTAACTTGTGTTTGAGCATCTGTGAGATGCTGTGTGCGCTTGTTTTTTTTGGTTAGCCATCGTCAGTCGGCAACTTGAACTAGGTCAACAAACGCAACTCGTTCTCTCACTTCGTACTTATTACGTTTGTGGAATTGTGCTGATGGACGGGATGAATAATCGCTGTATTTTTCTCGCAAAATATCGAGAGAGCAGAAGAGATGCTCGGTGAATTACAGCTATGCGTGTACATGTTTTCAAACGACCTGTATATATATATATATATATATATATACTTATATATAAAGTTGAAATAAGTTAAAAAGTTAAAGAAGAAGAAAGAGCACGGGATTGCAATCGTGTGAGGGTTCAGTAGTAGGAGCAGCAGTAGTTACTCAATGATTCCGTAGTGGCCCATATATGCGGATATTCCGACGGGGACGCGACGAAGGAAATGCTTCCTTATATTGTGATCCTCGCCGAACGCAAAGCAAACTGCTGACCCTTACTAGCATATAAAACATATCATATACTTACCGAATAGATAAGGCGAGTGAGATTTTCGAATCAACGAATAGATATGTTGAAACAGCCTTGCGAGATGTGGCAAATTGTCCAAACCAGGGCATTAGCGCTAGCTTAAGCGGCCTTTAAGTTGCGAAATTTGCGCACGTTTGAGCTCAAGATTAGGCTTTTTTTCCTGTCGTTCCTGCTATTGTCACCGCTGTTATTTTGGCTAATTTTCACAAATGGGTAGCTTCGATTGCGCACTTTAAATGTCGTCATTAGTCCTTACGGACCGAAATGACCTAACACATTATTATTATTATTCCAGGTTATAGGTAGATGGCAGTGGGGCTGAATGGTAAGCTCTTTCTTTTTCTTTGTCGCCCTCCTGGCGAGGTTTTTGCTGATGGCCGACTGTTTTTTCTTCCGCTAACGAGCTGCGCTTGTTCTTGTAAGTGTGTGGTAGCGTCTTGTTCCTTAGGTTGATATAAATGTGTGTCTGCGTTTATCTTGTGCTCCTGTCGTATTTCGACTCGGTAGGATCTATTTGTGTACGTGTACGTGCGTGCGTGCGTGCGTGCGTGCGTGTGGGTATACATTGTGTTCTTTGTTTACTTCTGCTGTTGCTTTGCATACATGGTTCGTCACTTGTAGTTCTTCCTACTATTACTATTTGGTTGAAGTAATAATGGCTGTTGTAATGGTAGCCCTTTGTTGATCATCGTATTTCATCATACTTTCTACACTTATTTCCATAACTCATCAGCAGGTTTATTAGTATCATTTCATCATTATAGTCATCATATGATTATCGATAATAATATATCATCGTTCAGTACTCATCGATCATCAATAAACATTCATTCATCATTAATTAGCAATACGTTCTGCTAAGATTTTCGTCGTCTGCGGTTCTGCAACGACCGCTGTTTCAGCCAGTTCACATTTAGGGGGTCTTTACCATAATCCTAATTCAATATTTCCATCGGGTCGTGTTGGTAGCCGTCTTCTATAGTGACATAACATTCATCATTAGCTTTTTCTTTCTTATTCGTCAAAATTAAGTCCTCTAGCCCCATATATGAAACCCATGAGAAGCTTCCAACTCTAGAGGCGGTATCATTCTGTATACGCTCTTCCTTATACGTTATTTATGCCTAGGTAGCTGTCAGTCAAAGGTCAACGTTTGCGATGTCGACAACGCATTTTTACGTTTAATCTGGCCGACGTAGTAGTACGCCATACATGCATGTTTGCCGGACATATATAATCAGGTGTAAATGGTGAATCAGGTGCGTCAGTGACCTTAAAGGCCTTTTGACATCATTATTATTGTTACTGTTATTGTTATTGGCCAGCAACACGGCTGATCAATACAATTACAATTCTTAGTTCACCGTCACGTCTTGGCGTCATTTACCGTTTGCCTTTGCTAGAAGTAGGTTGTTGCCTGAATATTCAGGTTTTGTTGACTCAGATTCAGAGATAGCCAGGTCTTCGGTCAGGTCGTCAAGAACAACGAGTCAATATTACGCTCTTTCCAAGATCAACATTGTCGAAGAAGCTGCAAACCTTAGGCAAACGGCTTTCGAACACAGCAAGGATGACGGCTCATCGGACTATCGAACGCAGTAAGCTACCGCGACGGACCGGTCCCTGGCTAACTATGTAGTCGAATTCTTTTCTGTTACTTGGCTCATCGCTTTCCTGTCCCGCAGAGCCAAGACCCGGTGGCCGCCAGAGGCCGCGGTCGTCGAGGCTTCGACAGGACGCGTGTCCTGAGGGACCGCGGACCGGACAATAACATTATCTTGGTATGGGGTATAGTGAGGTCGGTCAGTAGCTAGCATGTCCTCCTACGCGTCTCTTTTTGAAAGGAGAAATGTTCCTCGCTCACTTCGTACTGCGTTTTTAAGTAGAGCTCTAAGTACAGAGAAGGGTATAAAAAAGGCGGCTAAAGGCCTCTTAGATCCCTTCTCCTTTTCCCATACGTTTACGTGGCCTGACGTTTCAGTCATCACCCAAAGCGCGACAACGCTTGCCCAATCGTTGCTGATTTTCATGTTGGTAGTGGTACTAACAACCGATAGCAGCGATCAAGTAACGTTATCGCGATTCCCATGGAGTCACATGTGTGCGTATGTGGTATTTATTTTCCATCTACATGGCTTTCCGCACTAGTTCAACAGTTCGTAAAGTTAAGATTCATCGGTAGGCGGTGATATGCGGAACGGCGTAGAAACGTGGTTGTGTTGACTTTGACAACCATAACATGTTGGAGCGTTGATCAGTTTCACTCGTATAGCTAATATGTTCCGTTTTTTTCTGCATATGCACCTATTGATAGTCGTAGAAGAGATGCAAGACTCTCTGTGACGAAGTCTGTCTGCCTGACACGTATAGCTGGATCTGTTATCGTATGTTCAGAGAGTTTTGAGAGTAGTGGTATATTTCATCGTCCGCTTAGGCTCTACTCAAGGTTTGAAAGTCCTCTATATATCTTAATGTTTTATTTTCATAATTCGAACAACAAAAGGTACCACACTCGCTCTAACCCCGATCGGTGGCTGCTGCTTAAGCTCCGTCCTAAGCTATTAGATTGTAATGGCGAAAAAATTCACTTTCCCCTACACACATCTTCTTGGCTATACTGTATAGTCTCTAATCTCGTTATAGCGACTAATTACTATTTCGTATTGTGGATAGTTTTTAGTATTCAGTCTTTCGAATCCCACAGACTGCATATTCTGATTGTGTTTAGTATCGAAACCGGTGTTTCTTTTCACATGTTAGATTGTTTTTTTTTTTTTGATTTAATGCTCTCCGTCTATCGATGCCAGTTGGCTTTGTTGATGTTTTTTCCTAGTGGTCCTCATACTGCTTATTCGTATGATGATGTTATTACATGTTCTCTACGACTTACGTCTTCTCTAGGCTTGTTGCTCGATCATCTTCGACATGAGACATGATTCATGTAGCAGCTCCAATCTCGATTCTTTCAAGGGATTAGCTGATATAAGCTGGCTTGCTATTTTTCGTGTATTCGCTCCTCGGCTAGCTTTTGCACGTCGTTGCTCATAACTTTTACATGATTTTTTGTTTCGATTTAGCTTTGGCGCATTATCCGGCATGCTGTACCCTCGTGTATATTATACGTACAATATCCGAATGGCAATTGCATGCTTGTTGCAGTTGAACGTCGCGTTCCCCCCCCTCTCTCTCTCTCTCTCTCTCTCTCTATATATATATATATATATATATATATATATATATATATGGCCTTGCTCTCGACGATATATATATATCGGTGAGAGCGAGGCCACATTCTCAGATCATCGTTGACGCGAGGGGAGGGAAAGTGGCGTATATTTGTTTGGTTATTAAATGGGTGTTTATTCATTCGTCGTGCCTGCATGAAACACACGGAAAAACTGTGTAAGTTGCACAAATAAAATAGGGAGGCGCACACACATCTGCGTTTAGCGTTTTGCATTTGCACTGCTTACAGGATAAAAAAAAATTCTCATATCAATCATCAATCAATCAGTCAGGCACTTTTTTTTTAATTATAAGTCCATCAGGATTATTTTAATCAGAACTGCTCGAGTCGTCAGACGTTCACATTAAACAATAACGTGTTTGTAATCTTAGTTCACATATAGTTTTCTAATTATTGCGGTTATACAAAAACGTTCAATTTTCATGGCTTTGTTTTGAAAAATACGAGCAATTCACTTACGCAACCGAATTACCAGTGCCATTGGCCTTGATGGTACTGGCCGTAACCGAAATATCATTTTGATATATATTTGTAGTAACTGCTTGTTCAGCTGTACAGTAACCGGTGAAAAGAAGGGAAAAATTACAGGCGCGGGAGTGGCGGTGTTAACAAGTGAGGGTTTCCTTTTGTTAGGACCCTTCTCAGCATCGAATTTTTCGTTGCTACAAGGAAGCTGGCTGAGTTGCGGAACTTCGAGTCTTTCACTTCGAATTTCTATCTTCGAATGCTTCAACGTTAACCCACCTCATGACACGTGTACGCGAAACACTTTGATGTGCGTTACGCGTGTTTTAGTCCTGGCTGCTATTCTTACCCGCTTCGGCTTTCAGACTTCACATATAGTTGTTAATGATGTCCTTATCCAATCTGGAAATAGTGTCATTGCTTAGGGTAAAGCTTCAAAATGCCAATGCGTCCGCATATGGTCAACCGACGAGCTCAACTTATCGCGTTTAATAGTCCATTAAGCTTTTTTCATGGATTTCGTTTATATGCATCATGGCGTTATAGTTTACTGATCAGGTAGATTGCATTCTGGCTTCTCTCGTAAGCTCCTCCTGCCCCGTTCGCCGGCGTATACGTCTAAGGGATTTTCGGTGCCGCGGAGAATCTCAGCAAATTTCATTAGCTATTGTCTCTGTTGTTAAGCGATTAAAGAAAGGGTGTCCGTTTAGTAGCAACGGATTTCGACGGTAGGTTCAGGGCGTTGCTATTTAGTTTCATTCCTTTAGCTGATCCTTGCTGGAGAAAATTTTCAAAGTGTTCTCTTTCGTGCCGATTCTGCGCCATTTGTTTGCAGTGATACGAAGCGCGATTTTGTCTTCGTTGGTTCTACTGCAATGGATAGATATTGCATGAAATCATCTTCAATAGTTTTTTGTCTTTGTTGCCGCTGCTTCTGTTTTTCTAAACATCCATCTTGTAATGTGTCAGGTCGCTGTTACACATGGCACCTTCGTGCCGAACTGCTTCAATGGACGATTTTTTGGCGCTGGGTTTATCGTCGCTCGTCGTTGTTTTCACAAATGCACCAGCGGCCCGTGTTTCGCTGTGTGGTATCCATGTGAATACGTTTTTCAAATCGGTGGTCAGGCTGCCGGCCGGAAATAATAATGCCGCCAAAATTCAAAATCCGATCCAAATGGGCTAAGTACAACGATCCACGGTTAGGAGTCATTTTCGAGTAATTAGAGAAATTTCAGAATGTACTGTTGACTGTTGATGAAGGATGCCATTAAGACTTATTTCTACTGACAGCGACGTACTAATAATAATCAGTAGTCTCAATTCCTAATGAGGTACATGACATTTTCGCTTATGAATTTTTCGTCTTATCATCTTATCGTTACGCGACGCTGATCCATAAAATGCCTCGTAATGACGTACTTAGCTGCCGTTTGTTGTTGTTCCTATTCGACAAGTTCCTGCCGGAACTGTGTTGACTTCCTTTTACTGCTAGTATTAGATAGAGGTATATACGAGATATGAACAGGCATATGCAACGCTCGTGGTTACCAATCCAGGCATTTTTGTTATCTGTGTATGATAACAATTTTCCTAGGCGATCTTTCTAATTGTAGGATATGCTTGATGGTGATAGCCGGGACGTAGTAACTGTTATAATGTAAGTAGCTGTTATAGTATATTTGTCGCCTTTTTTACCCGGTAATTTCGTTCTTTACAGGAAGCCGGGAAAAACAAGCAGGTTGGAATGATCAAATTCGTGACGAGCTTCTTCAACTTCTTGTTTTTGTAGATGTCTAAATGCTTTTGATGCGTTGTGTATGGTTGTTCATATTCGAGTAATTATTATATTAAAATTGTCTTTCTTATCAAGCTTTGGCGTGCATGAATGATGGCGGAGGCTCATAAAATTGAATTTTAATGTAGGTTTCGTCAATTTTTCCTTTTTTTTTCTTATTTTCTTTCTCACTTTATTTTTCTCCGTGGTAGTTTTCCTTTTTTTTTTTTTACAGGTTTCAAGATCTAAGAAGACGGTAGGAGTAATGAATTTTGAATGGTTGTTGTTGTTGATGATGTTCTTTTCATTCATTCGTGATGTTGTAATGATGATGGCACGATTTTGTTTCGCGGTCTTACAGCTTGGGAGGGGGCGGAGGTGCGGACGCTGGCGGGGGCGCAGCTAGCGACATCCTCCGGGGCCCCCCTGGGGGAGCCCAGAACAGCAGTCGTCTGACCGGGGTTAGTTGTTGCTATGCGATCGGCTCCTTCTTCTCCAACGGCGGCGCCATAGGAGGGCTGGGCCCTGCAACCAAAGAGAACACTGTCAGACAGGCTGCGCCTATTAAAAGCGTCTGGACGCCAAGACGAGCACACACTTAAACTTGGCAGGCCCCAGCAATTTATTCCCCTAATTTGCGCGTTTGCATGTTTCACACCTGTTGTTCTGTCTCTTACTTTGCCATTTGCGTCATTCAACAGAACTACAACGACGGCGGCGACGACGACGACTAGAACAACATCCATCAGCATGGGCTGCTGCTGTCGCCAATGCACGGGTGGCTACAGACAATATTTTGCTTTTTGTCATCTATAGACGCAATTAGCGATTGGGCCGACTAGAACGGTGGGCTAAACACCAGGCCAATACGATATCGACTCTTGCTAGCTTTCTGCTAATACTGCCGCTAGCAATGTTGGGGGAGACGGCTGTTGTTTGGGGGGCGCCGCATGCTCATGGCGTAGGGGCTGCTTGCCGATGTTTGCCGGCTCACTCAACTAATGATGGTGTCCTCGAGATCCTCTCTGGCGCAGGACCTACCTCCATCGTTGTTGTGGGGCTCGTGTCTCTGATCATGAGCAATAAAGCCGGAGAAGAGCTCCATGGGAATGGGGAAGACGATGGTCGAGTTCTTTTCGGCCGCAATCGACGCCAACGTCTGCAGGTAACGCAGTTGCAGCGCTGACGGCGTGTCCGCGATCACCTCTGCGGCCTCCTTCAGGCTTCGGGAGGCTCTTTGCTCTCCCTCGGCGGCGATCACCTATTGAGTGATTAATTGGTTGGTTGGACGATTGACGAACATGGATGAATGGATAAGATTACATTATTATAATAACAACAGCAAGAACAACGATTTATTAAGGTGATGAGGTGGCCCGTAATGATGGTGTGAACCGGCGAGGTTCATGAGGTGAACGATGCAGTCGGTTTTGAGGAAAACACAAATTGAAAGATGCAAGCAGACACATACACACACACACACACACACACACGCACACACACAAAAAGAACAAAACGTTAGATAAGGCCAATTTACATAAAACAGATGGTGATATATATATGTATATATATATATATATATATGAAACAGACTTATATATATATATATATATATATAAGTCTGTTTCAGTAACTTTGCTTTTTTACAGCTTTTTTACAGGAACAAGCATATTATTATAACACGACAGTGCTTCTACATAACACCATATTTCTGAGGAATGTATTGATTTGAGCACAGGTTAATAGCCTTATTTTTCATTATTGTTTTATTTATTATAATTATCTACAAGCTAATAGCTTCATGAAAATTACATACCTTGGCTCTAGCCTCTCGGGCAGCTTCGGCTTCAGCCGCCATAGCCCTCTGTAGTTGAACTGGCAGACGAACATCTTTTCTGTAATTGGGCATTAGAGGCATGTCACGACATCAGATCGACCCAGACAGATAACCCACACATCCTTTTCATCTACCTGGAGCAGAAGCGCCTTTCAAGCGAAGCTTGGAGAAAGCAAACGGCAACAAGGCCACGCCTCCTCTGGAAAACCATCGGCATCGGAGACCAACAGCGAAGTTGCGACCAAGACCGCCTCGAAAAACCTTGGTCAAGGCAGACTTGAGCAAAATGAGCATGCATATATATACGTGGAACAGCACCTAACATTTATGCTAAAATTGGCATTGAACGCTATCCACACTGAACGAACATCTGCAGAAAATTCTGTCTATTATTATTCGGTAAATATTCTATCATGTGAGGGTAGATTTCTAGTGTTCAATATCAAAAAGGACAATCACGCTATTTTTCTAATTGGCCTCTATTTACTTTTATTCCGTTGTAAACTTATTGAATTAAATCGGAATAAGGCTATACCCTGTTATTTACAAAGTACAGTACATATATATCGGGTATATGACAGTCGTTATAAAATAAACACACAACTTCGAAATTATAATCTAGCACTACAAAAACATTTAATTTTGTGTTCCTGTCCTAATTAAGCACTGCTTAAGACGCAAAAAGCATTGTGTGTACGTCCGGCATCGAACCTGGAGCACTTCGTAGGGTATCTCTAAGTTTACTAGGCAAACATATCATTATTAAGCCATCTCCATTGGACACTATCATTTACTACAAAATTAGTACAGTTTAGCATCACTGGTATTACTAGTTCTATTATTATATTATACTACTTGTACTACTTACATCTCAACTCGTTCCACTTTGACACCCCAGGGGTCGGTTGCTTCGTCTAAGCTCGCCTGCATTACGTGACTGATCGACTCTCTTTCGGAAAGAATCTCCGACAGGTTTTTGGTACCCAAGACATTTCGAAGTGTAGTGGCCGCCAACAGTCGCGTCGAGTGGCCGTAATCCTCCACATTGGAGACGGCAATGGTGGCGTTTGAGATGCGATAGTAAACCACGGCATCCACCGCCACTGTCACTGAATCCTTGGACAAAATCTGCACCGGCCCATCAATACGCGCACAGCCAAGAAAAAACGGCGGAAATCGCGGATGACGCCGACGTAACGATCCAGTGCAGAAGCATTCAAATAAAAGCGGTCATGTTAGCAGACGACACATTTGTATCATTGTTGGGAGTTGTTTCGCTGAACAATGAAATTTACATAACTACACTTGTCACAATTATCACATAGAAGCCAATGCGTATATATATGTTAGGATTATAATTACATTTGAACTTTCGATCATTTCTACAAATCATCTACAGTAACCATATACTACCGTGATTGAAACCTAGTTGGGCTATAATTTCTTTCTCGTTGAGTGGCAGTTGTGTGTCTTTACGTAACTATATTGCTTATCTGTTTGCGGCTGGCTTCACGTTAATGTGCTATGTGTTTTTTGTTAACTGTGTGTTTGACATTCTCTACCTGTGGAGAAGTGTTGTTAATTGTGTTCAAGGATCAGACCGTCAATTTCCACTGCGCTGATTAGTTTCACCGGTCGCAGTCTTGCGCTGTCATTACCTAACTGTTGTTCTAGTTCGTTTAAGATTAATTATTTCTATAATATTCTTATTACAATTTTCGTATGTCCGGTTGCTCCACCCAGTTAGGCATAACGACCTTCAGCCAATGACGACTTCGCGATTGTGGCAGCTGTTTCCACGCCTGTAACTTAGTATTTGTTCTACCGCTGCTTTTCACGGTATAGGCCGATCGCCAGGCATCAATTAGAGTTAAAGGTGTTCTTCATGAATATTTACGGCAACTCTTCCCCCTTGCCCGATTTGTCCTCCACGGTGTGTCAGTCGTCTCTTCCCGAAGCAGCACTTTTAAACGTCGCTTGTGTTTCAATTGCATTACCGGCCAAACCTACCGTGCGACTATCTAATGTTGACACAGTCGAAACCCCTGCCGTTATAGCAATAGCATGAAATCACTAGCTGCAAAAATACAGCATGTATTCTATTCAAGTGTACGACCTTTTTGGGGGTGCGCGACACAGTTGAAGCCACAGCAAATGTCCAGTTTTGGTTGGGATCGCCCTTTCTATGCTTTCGAGCGCCCATCGCGAGGTGATCAAGTGGCCGCTGGTGTAGTTGCCTTGTGACGGCTGCAGTTTCGCGCCTCAGATACCGATAACATAGGACAGCGCTCAGCGCCCTTAGTCGCTTGAGTCAGTTTGTCGCACCCAACGTCTCCCAAGTGCCACAGCCATCGATGGATGCTGTGTAAGCACAAGTACGTTGCGAACAGAAAAGGAAAGCAAGTGACTAAAGAGTCCGAATGCCGAGTACAAGATGCTGTTGCTGCTAGGGTTGCAGTTTCGTTTGAAGCGGCACCGCCGAAAGCTTTGCCGAAAGCCGCCAACTACCGACAATCGGCCCGAACTGAGCGGCAATCCGCTTCGTTCCGCCATTTAGCTTCTGTCGAATTGGCGACCCCTGGCAAGTCGGTCAGTTCTCATACGTCGATCATATTTGTCGCTCCTACATGACCGTTGTATACTGCACGTACGGTCGTTGTTGTTATGTTTGTGATGGTACTGGGTAGATGTAACAATAACACCGGGATATACATATAGAACGAAGTTCTATAGGCGACAAATAGAAATTGGGCATGGTAGGAGATGTAGCTAAGATCACTCCCTTTAGATAGATGAATATCTATATTATTAGTCTCATATTATTAGCGGCACAAGACGGCATATGGAGATAGGAAAAGAAGTTATAGATGTATGCATATATCGTTCAGCTGATGTTAATACAGGCGATCTTTCGCCAACGAGCAGTGAAGAACGAGTATTCCAAGGTGATCAAGGGGTTTAGGAAGTTATGAAAGCGAGAAGCAACTTGCAAACTACGATATAATAAATACGCATACGATCGGTCCCACAAGGGGACTACGATACCCGACAAGCATGGACAACATTTTCTTGACGCCGACAAAGAAATTGTACCGGCTCGGTGGTACCGACCACGACCCAGGAAAGTTGAATTAACTTTCATTTCCAGTTGCTCTCAGATGTTCAAAAAACCCGAAATACTAGCGAATTTTCGCTTTTGTAATGTCAAGACTTCCGTTAATTACAGTGTCTTGTCATACCATGAATGACGGCGCGAGTCAGTACTACACACTAACGCCATCAATCGATCAACGTGTGCACTCACGTCATTGTCTCCTTTCCTCTTTCGTCCTTTTCCGCAAACAGGAAAGGGAGCCAACTTCATAGCGAGAGTGACAGCAAAAGGGTAGAAAGTGGCTGTGAGAGTTTGGCATTTTCAATATAACAGCCTTTCGTTTTGAATTCAGCTAGAACTGGCCGCTGACTACTGTAGATTGCTATTCTGTCGACAGGCTAAAGCTACGAAGGGATGGGTGACTACCTCGAGTCGTTGTAACTTTTATTTGCTTGCAACGCCGCTTGATCGGTGCAAATCGCTCCTTCGTTTAGCAGAACCGCTCGATTCAGTTGAACGAAGATAGCCAGTGCTTATGTCAATTGCTGCTGCTGCTGCTTTTGTTGAGTCCCTACATGGTTAGAAGATCGGTGTCGATGGGAAATTGGCAGCAGCAAGCAGCGGCGACGGAGTGCCCGACAAGCGTTGCTTATCATAAATACATGTTACAGTGTGTTTTGAGCCTTCCCACGAGCCTATCACGAGCTTGTTGGCGTCTATACTAAATGCGCTACAATTCGATTTAGCAGCAAAAAGGACTCTTGACATACAGGCCCCACATACGTGATCGCATCTGCCGATGGGAGAGAATATGGCGGTCATATTGTACGATGTACAATTTCTTATTTATTTCGTTCTAAGGGTAGCCAGACGCTCTTCGTGGGCGATACATCCGTTCCATCCGGTTTTACAGATGTATATTTCCACACCTGTTACGCATATCTATAAAGCAAGCATAGATACAAATACATAGACAAGTGTCCTATACCAGATATGTAGAAAAACACCACTTGTTTTTCCGATCGCTTTGTGTTATGCCGATCCGATGAAAGCGGAGAACGCCTCGGGTAGCACCGAAGCGGGATGAACGGCTTTAGGTATAGTGTAACGCTGACTAGGCGGCAGTTCATTGGTTCGACCGTGGTGGCAAGCTGTAAAAAGCGAGTAAACTTCCAGAGGACTGTTTGAAAGGTAAATTATGCCACCGTAGGCATCGAGCCGGAGAGGGCGATAGGCTAAACTCATGGTGAAAAAAAGTGAGAACTCGCTGTTCGAACGTTGACGTTGAGATAGAAAGCAACAGCGATAGAGCACGTGCCAAATATTGCAGGTGGGAATAGTGACATGTTCTCAATAAATGTGAAATAGAGGAATGGTTCTTTTCGATGTAAATTCATTTCTCGGCTTCTTTTCCACGCGTCTTTTCTTCTGCCATAGTTTCGGTTTCAATTCCAGCTCTTTGATGACGGAAATCATGTCAATCGTAAAGCATCAGAAGCGGAAGTATGCGTTTATGTCATCTAGTTTTTTTCCGTTAACTTCCTCATATTACACCCTCCTTTATTATAAAGTGGCAAAATGATACTGATGAATGAGTAGCCACACCTCTCTGGACAGCTAAAACCACCACATACATATACATAAAATATAAGTTAACTTACAAGGTGTCATTTCATAATTAAACCTGCCTTTTGAAAATCACTATAACATACCGGCCGAACTCTATAGTTTCAAAGAAATGTTATGTTCTTTCCAGTATGAACCACTGAATATTGAAGTTCCCTACAAAGTTCCCCCTATTTCACTGAACAAGTATAATTCAAGATCAGACAGCCAAATTATTTATCTGTGTTACGCACGTTATACATGCCTCTATGCCTGCTTATTGTATGTGAATAGACAGACTAAGTCATAAATCCACCAGGTAGTAGTAAAAACGCTGCATGTATTCACTGTATGGTTTTCTTTAAAACGCTGTCGTCTGCCGTCGCACACCTCAAGTTCTAAAAGGACTCGTCGGGATCAAGAGTTCCAGGATGAGCGATGCTACCATTATAAGCCGTGCACAAAGTGAGGATATCTAAAACGGATAAAGCTTCTCTGTTCCTCGATCCTCTCCCGGTCCTAGCGGATCTCGTTCGATTTGACGTTGCCCCTGAGGGTTGCTGAGCCATCCCCGAGGGGTAATGCGCTTTGATCAATTACGTGCGGCAAGTGCCTGTCGAACCGCACTCTGTCTATCGTCATCGAATGCACCGGCAACCAACCGCATTCAGGACCGGTGCAGGACCGAGGGAATGCGTATAGGCAGGAGTTCAACCCATCACGCTTGCCTGTGTGGCGTGCCTGCTAGGTCGATTTAATTAAACTCGGATCGGTTGGTTGTTCCACAGACAGGCAGGCAGGCAGTCATGCCTTGAAGGGTCGCAGTATAAACCGCAATGCCGATAGTGGTGGCAACCAAAGTCCGTTAGGGCTGGACCTCTCACGAGCCACGGCTCTTTAACCTGCTGGCTTCAGACCGACCATCTTTCGTCGACCCCCGTCAGAGTCTAAAGGCTGTTCGGGAGGGGGCCTATCCTACGTGTAAAGTTCGCATCCCTTTCAGGCTGTACTTCTTCGTTGCTGTATTTATTAACCGTTCTTGTTTGCTTTGCCCCTCTGGCTGTTTTGCTATATCGCTGCACGATCTGGCTGATTTGCCCCCTAGCTTTCGCACGATATTGTTATGAAGTTTTAACTAGACAACTTTTAATATTAGAAAGACATAGCTGAGCGGTAATAGGGAAAACGAGCTGGAGACAAACGCGCATCCAGAGCTGGAGGACGAGGCGCTGCTGCTGCCGAACTCTGTTGCGTCTGCTCTGTAACGCTTTTGACAGCCCCACAACCAGCCGCAGTGCTGCCATTACCTCTAACACAACTTTGTCTTCTATTGCTACTATTACTTTTACTAAGCCTCTACTGAGATAAGGATGGATGGGAGCTCTCGAGCATCGGGACAAACATCTTATAACAACCCGCGGTCTGAAGC